CATAAACTAGACGTCATTCCATCTGACGTGAAGTGCATAATATCAAGTTTATGCAAAATTAACGCCAAACCATCCATATGAAACTTTAGCTGACCATCCTGCAGTTGCAGTACCAAGATTCCTCACTAGATGGAACTCACTTGTTCCCTGCATCCATCCTTCTACTTTTTATTATGCAATCCATGAATATACAGTATATATGGAAAGCATGAACTTATTATATATTTTTAATAATATATGACTCCAGGAATCATTAAATGCTGAAGTTAAGCTTTTTATTGCAGCAGTGCACGGGATTAGGGAAGAGTAGAATCCCAGCCCCGCAAGTATAACACCTTCTCTATCCACTATATAAGTGGAAGAGAGCTCCTCTGAACATCTACTCCTCCTCCCGAGGTTCCGGTTACAGGAGGAGGAAGCAGTAGGTCATTTTGGTACTCTTGAGTGCTGGTGAGGATGAGTATTTGTGTACTCGTCCAACCACCCTAGAGTTCTGAAGTATGGGAAGGAATGGGAGATTCAGTGTATCAATTGGTATTGTATATTCTGCAAACATGTTGACATTATCTTGACAATAAGAATGATATAAAATGGACAAAAATTTTCGGATTTCGTGATGTCATGCAAGGTAGATAGAATATAAGGTAGTCTCCGCTCAGTTGGTTGCTTTTCATTGGCTACCGCTCATGACGTCACCGTGGAAGGATCAGGGAGCCATATGCGTGAGCTCGCCTTCATATAAAGTTCAGCAGCTAACCTTTTGTCTCATCCTATAAATTTCTGCTGCATTAATTCTGAATTTACCTTATTACCATCCATTCCTCTGTCAGACCTCGTTCAGAGAACGGAAAGATTCACCACGTTGGTCAAGAAATCAATCTAGTTTTATTCGTGGGAGATTCCACTTCTCTAAATTTTAATTCCAGTCATTGGATCCAAGTATAAAACGGTTGATATTTGAAGCATAAACATATTTGCCATGTAGGGTTGGAATTGATCTAAGTCAGTAACTAGTACAAGCAGTACTTCCATGGATTAACCTTTATCGAACGGATTTAAATTCTCCCCGCGTGAGCACTGACAGCCAGATTTTTTCTACGAAGCTAAACACTTGCTAATTGAGCAATTATTCATTTAATATCAAAGCATTTTTTCCAAAAAGTTGCGGTACAGCATTTTTACCTTTAGGCCATGGGAAAATGCATTCTGTGACACAGCAGTTATGACATTTGTCCGATAAAGGCTGATAAGTATGGGCATGTATAGCTGGAAATGGGTAACGGGCACGGGGCGCAGGGGGTTGGATTTATTTATTTACCTTAACGCGCCCCGATTACACTACAATGAATTCCCTTCCAGAAAAGGTCCGGGTCAATTCAAATTCGAGCGGGAGTATCTAAGACGTAATTCAAGAAAACAAGAAAAATATATATATATTCCAAAAAAAATAATAAAAAAGACAATAGAAATGTTACTGGAACTAACGCTTCAAAACGTTCTCCAAATTATAAAACCAATGACAGAATACAAACTCCCTCTCCTTACTTTTCTCCCTTGAAAATCAATGCAAGCAAACCAACCGTTCCAATCCCATTACAGTACTTTCAATGACAATGGGCTGATCTTCACTTCCAGATAAAACCTTGCAAGTTCTGGGGAAAACTCACGACCATCGAAAAGATCCTCTAACTATAAAGTTTTCCCTCTGTATGTTGTTGAGAGAGAAAGGTGGCCAGTTTCAGAGCACCCACGATCAAAAGGGCCCGAGTACCCCGGTCAAATCGGTACTAACTTGAGTGCCCGACTTCCTGCTCTTCAGTCACCTCGGAGTGAGGGATCTTCAGCTGAGATTCTTGTTGAATTGAAGAAGAGAAGAAAAGATCCTGCATTTAAACGGTAAGGAGCCCTTCCACGGGGTGGCTGACCCCAAACACTGGGGTTTACCTCCATATTCATGCATCTCCATGTGTCAATGGATGTTTTACGTTCAACTTGACTCTGATCCACTCCACCGGACGTTGCGCGGTCATAGGCTGGCATACGTTACAGATGTGTAAAAGCCGAGATGCAAAGAAAGAAATAATCAAAGTATATTGAATCCGACTGGGTAGAATGAAATCAGGACTTTCACCGGTGGCTTATATGAGGTTCAGAACATGAACATCAAAGGTTGGATCCAATCAGACCATATATTACCTTTGCCACTCCATTTTCTTAAGCTGGTGCCTTCTGTCATCAATGTTCCTGTTCAAAAACTTGACCCTAATGAATGTCCTTGTACGAGCATATGGCAGTATCGCTCTTGATTCCACAGAAGGGATTTTTTTTTAATTATACCCTTCTCCTTGGTGTATTCCTGCGCTATGCCTTGCGGCAAAGGTTGCCTCAAATTGTTTCAACCAGTCATTAGAAGGTGTACATAACCTTTGAATTTACAGCTACTGAATCCAGGTCTGAATCCTCCTTTCACTGTTGTCATCTAAGCTTGATATTTCCCTTATTACCCAATGTTGTAACTCCCATGCTTTCCTCCCTGCGAACAATATATCCTGATGGCATGTCTACGTATTAACACGTATTAACATAATTCACGTATGTGATCCTGCATGGCAATGTGCACGAATCACTCAACTGTATCTGCAAGGAAAATCACCTTGCCATAAATGTCATTCCCACTCGACTTCCACGGTGACGTAATGCGTAGAGCCGCGAAAATCTCGTCCACCACTGGGCTTCGAGCTGAGACTACCTTCTTCATCAACCTTGATGCCATGGACTTGCCCGGGTTCCCGTGCCAAAGGTCGCGCTTTGCTTCCCTGTCTACGCCAGTGGTTCCCAATATTTTTCTTATTTGCAGCACACATAAGGACACTTGAACTTTTCACGGCACATTTACTTACTTTCAACAGGAAACTTGTGGTTGCTATCGCTGAACACAGCAGTTGATACGAGGCGTGATACTCTCATCTCGTTTCCCTCTAGAGAGATGACTCTTGTTTTTAAGATTTTTAGTATTAGTTTTTTTGTAAACTCTGAAATCTCACGGCACACTTTGGCCTTACTGCCGGCGTGCCGTTTGGGAAACACTGGTCTACGCTACTCGGACTACTTTGTCACTGGGGATCACCTGCCAGACACAGGAGAGCACACGCGATCGGAATCTCTGCAAACGAGAGGGAGAGGCAGTGAGTGTTCCGTACCTCGTCATTCGCTATCAGGTGGCATTGCTTCAGTTAAGCCAGACTTTCATGCCAAGTCTAACTTTGGAGGCCTGTCTAGTCGGTTGCACTGACCCTAACTAATCTCAATTCTGACTTTCAAGTCTGTCTAACCTTAAGCCACCTTCGGGGAATCTTAACTGAATGAAGTCCGATTGGAAACGCCATTATCTGGTTTTCTCGAGAAGCTGCAGCGATGGTTAGTCTCAAGTCGGGCTGATGCCCGACTTGAGAGAAAGGTAGAAACGTCAAGAAGGGTATTCCGAGAAAGGTTTGATCCCTCGGAGTGATTTTGAACACTATGCCTTGACAGAGAAGGAATTTCCAAATTGGCTGATTTGCCGTCTGACCAATGTCCTCTCCAATGACGTTCATGGCTGCTTTCAAGATTTTCTGCTCCGGGAGTGGTTGCCCTCCCCCCTCGAGGTTGCTTTTTCTTCAAGAAATAAGGTTCAGTTTTACATCTTGTTCAATATACTTCCATTTTCTTTTGCTGTCATCTATCGGACCTTTTCGGCTTCACCGACACTATTTTACCTGAGAACCATATCTAAAATATATATTTAAACCAATTCGAAGGATGAAATGCATTTAATTAAGGTGTTCGTCTATTGGCTAATTCCCATCCCATTTCCAGATTGAGCCCTTCAGGAGAATTAGACCCACTTCCTCCGCCACAATATATCAAGCACCCTTCCTTATTGTTTTTGCTTAGAGCTGTGTTGCACTTCGAAAAGAGAATTTATTTCCGTTTATCGGACGCTGTCCGCTCAGACTCCATGAAATTCCGGAAACATGAGGTCGACTTTTGCAACATCAGAAGTCAAGCTTGTCAAGAAGTCAAGTACAAGCTTGCAAAGCTTGCTTTTTTTCCTCTGCGAGAAAGTCAGACCAGATTAGCCAGAGGCAGTGCAACCGAAGCTCAAGTCCGAATTTTCCAAGTCTGACTTGGAAGAGATAGCAATGCAACTGGCCCGAGATCATGAATATGCGCGCATGCAGAGTGACGACACAAGGATGCGCTTAAAATGAGCCCTCGAAAATCCTTTCGGCTCATTCTTTCTCCAGTAATCGAGGCAGGATATTTCCTCGCTCCCTCTTCGCTGTTCACGCGCATTCAGCCTGTCAGCCCTATGCTCGCCTCCCCAGCTTATCCTACTCTTGTTCTTTCTTTCCTTCTCATCCATTGATAGCTTCTCCCTATTTCCTCTCACTGGCTACTTTTTCGTAGGAAAAACTGCATGTATCAAAGCAATTAGATTGAATCTTGGGTAAAGGAAGTTGAAAAACCTTCCGTGATGCTTCCTATTGAGGAGGCAACATACGTTCAAAGCGAGGCGTTTATTGTCACTCTGGAATTCCTCTTACTCGGCTAATACTGAGTAGCCACTCAGCCGAGTACCGAGTAACCTGAATTTTTACCCAAGAGATGTTCGCCCTTCACCACTTGGATTCTTTAAATCTCCTACTTCTCGAAACAGAAGTACCTATTGCTTAGGGGTCTCCCTTTCCCCAATGGCAAAGCTTGCACTCAGAAAAAAAGCCTGATTTGCTTGGTCCTCCGTCATGCCCAGTCAAAAATTTTTCGTTGGGCCATCAATGGCTTATAGTCGATTCGAACATAAACCATCGCTGGGCCATCATTGGCAGATGGTTGGCTTACAGTTGGCTAAAGGCAGCGTATAGTCGGGCAATGTTCTGTTGGTCCTTCATTGGGCCAACTATGGCTCATTGTCGGTAAACCGCACAGGCCCCAAAGATAACCCAATGATAAACCAACTGGTTTCAAGTAATTTATTGCACAATTGCAAATCAGTGGCACATTGAAAGGGTGGTTTTTATGGCACAATGGAGGAAACTGAGGTATCTGTCTCTTCTCCGCATCCCTGAAGTGCCTCTCTCATCATTACTTCTCCAGTCTCTTTTTTGGGCTGAAAGAATACAATTAAGGACAAGTACCTTTGCAATCAAAATCCTTACAGTCACGATGGGTTAAATCAAGTACCTTCTGATGTCTGACATTGCTAATTATTCAATTGAAAAAAAGTATAATTACTTTACAGACTAATCTTTCAAAGTAGGTTTTACAGCAAAAAACAATTCCATCACTAGCCAGTTACGCATCCATGCATAATAAAGAAGACTCATGAACTGCTGTTTTGCTCCACTCCTTTCTTTCCTCCCCCCATACCAATCACACACACCTCTCAATATTATTTGCACTTCTTTGGAGATTTCAAGCTCCTTGACTTTCATGACGTTGGGACAGCGTTTCAGGGCAACTGAGAAACAGAAGTGATGTGCAACACTAAAATAACAGAAGTTCACCAGAATTTCAAGCCTGCATGGGCCATTATCGGATGTACAGGGTGTCCCATATAGATAGAGCCCCCCTCCACAGCCCAAACCAAAAGTGCTACACATATGTATGATATAACATGGTAAAGCACATTCATCGACTATTCTAATGACATCTTTATCTTTCCCAGATGGCTTGTGGTGACTCAGAAAAATTGAGATTTGTGGACCGTATCCGCCCCATCACTTTCCGAGAAGCGCAAGATGTGTGTGCTGAGTTTGTTAGTAAATCGTGGATCGCTAAAAGTATCAAAAGGTCTGGGAATTTCGTAAAGATTAATTGGAATAAAAGCCCCACGAGTGTGAAATGTCTACAGTAGACATTCCGGTTAATCCAGTTAATCTTCACAAAATTTTCGGAACTTTTGACCCTTTTAACGATCCACGATCGACTAATAAACTCAGCACACGCACCTTGCGCTTCTCGGAAAGTGACGGCGCGAAGGCAGTCCACAAATCTAAATTTTTTCTGAGTTACCACAAGCCATCTGGGAAAGATAAAGATGTCGTTAGAATAGTCTATGAATGTGCTTTACAATGTTATATCATATATATGTGTAGCACTTTTGGTTTGGGCTGTGGAGGGGGGTTCTATCTATATGGGACATCCTGGACACTCAAATCCACTCATCAAAGAAATAAGTATATCAGTATCTTCTACTATGTCAACCATATCTTCAGATTCCAGAATCAAAGGCTGGCCACTATGTATAATGAAACAACCATCATTAGAATGGAAACCTACAATAATCAATATTTAAAACTCAATATATGCTATATATATATATATATATTCCAGTAATTTGCATAATTCAGGATCATTTAGTCATACAGGCATTACTCAATGCTCATGGAAGAGCATTTTATATGAGTGTACTTTAAAAAATGGAGAATGGAGACTGACCCATAATAGTGTGAAAGGCTTTATGAGCTTTGAAGGATGCTTTTGTCCTACTCCTTCCCTTTCCCAATCCAGTCAGAGAAAACTGAGAAGCCAGGTTCTTGCCCATTATTCGCTTCAACATGGAACGAATAGTCTCCCGGAGAATAGGTGTCTCACACTGTGACAGCACATCAATCTGAAAAATAACCCATATCACTACTTTGCTGCACAATGAAGGCAGAAGTTTATGGCAGATAGCCATGCTTCAAGCCAAAACATTTTCAGAGCTATGATACTGATCAAATGACCTGTAACTAATTTTTTTCATGTTGCATGACAAATGATGAAAGCTGCCAGAGCCTTGGAATTTTATTAACACATTCCAGATCAGTTTCTAAAGTTTTGGCACACTACTCTCAAAATTTTCACTTCAGTAAGCACAGGATGCAGCAAAAGTTGGGAATCATAGGGGAATAGCAAAGGGACAATTACTTTCAAAGACTACAAGGAACTAATCTGCCAATCTGTATTGGTGCTGAAAAGCAAAAGGTACCTAAACCATAATATCTGGTTCAAATGACCCCAAGGAACCCAGAAGGACCCACAAAGACTCAACATCAACCATGTGGATCCATTGAGATAATCTTCCACTCAGATAGGAGGGGCCAATACAATCTTAAGCAACATGATATGAAGTTTAACATATGCAACACATTGCTGTATTACAACTTGTAACCATGAATTAATTAGGTATTTGTATTTAATATAGACAGCTTACAATTCCAGGTGAATCCAGAAGCTGGTGTAATTCTTCAAAAGTAGAAGCAGGTCCTGGGAGGCTTGTCATAAGGCTGGGGTTAGATTCACTTGTCATCAAATTCTTCATATCATGGATGTCAGCTCTGAGCGCTTCAAGATATCTGGTATTTTCCTTGAGCTGGAAAAGGACCTTTTCTAGTGTTTGCAGCACCATGAGATTCTCCAATGATTCCCTGGTGAAAAGTAAGGGCAACTCAAAAGGAGTCACAAGCTTGAATTTACATTCCTTATGGCTAAAACGGGAATGGTTTATGTTCTATCAGTGTCTTTATTCCTACTTTACCTTTGTGTGCTCATTTCATTGCCATATGGCTCATATCTTGGGACAATCCTTGGAGTCCTTTGTTTTCATGAGTCCCTCCCATGACATGTCAACTGCTTAGATGATTCTGGGAAACATAGGCATATCCCCTTCCACCCTTTCCACTTCAGTGGAACTCACATCTGTTGTGGCAAAATATGCCCTCTGAACATACTTCTTGTATGCACCTAAAAAGAGCACAGAGGGGTAAAGTAAGATACCAAAGGCATACATTCACACGTGAGTGGTTATAGATGGAGTGGTACGGCCAAGAAACATGCTATATTTTGCACGCTGCAACACAACTTCTCAAAATTGAATTAAAGCAGGCTTACAATTCTTTAACAGCACAACGAGCACACTTTAAGTCTCATCATTCCCAAAGCTGGAATTTATTCAGCTGCATGGACAAGTATATACCCTAGTTGCTGGATGCTCATAAATCATTACATTCATAGTTAACCACAGGCTAGCAACAGTGATAGGCCTCATATGACTACCCAGTACTACAATGAATGCATTTTTATGCTTGAGCTGGCCAGGTATATGGAATCTGCATATGTTACTTAGCAGAAGAGCATAAAACCTTGACATTGTAAATATTCCAATCTTCCCCTGGAGGGACCTCATTCCTCACCAACACATCCACATCACCAGCATTTGGCTAGGCACATTTTTTGCCTCCTTTCAGCATCCACTTTTGTGGTATTACAGCATTCGTCTTGTCCTTGAATTCAACTGCAACAAATTTCTTCATGGCAATTGATTTCACCTGGAAAATTCTCTTTATTTTCAGCAGAAGGCTATACAAAGATGCATGTGATGAACACAAAATGCATAGCAAAACTAGGCCTATGCGGAATATGAACTAGGGCAGGGCCTAACCCTTTCAGGGGATAATTGAATGAAGCAACTGCACAGTGACATGCTTATTCCTGAATGGCAACAAGGCACATTTTGCACAAATTTTATCAGCGTAAGTGACTTCAACCACACCAAGGTTTGACACCAGATAAATTCCCAGATTTCTAAAAGCCAATGGAAAACAAATTTTCAATAGTCAAGAACTTCTGGAAAACAATGTAGATGGTGGAATGAGCAGTGAAAATATTTTGAACAATACCTATATTCCCACATATCAGCATAACACATGCAATCTTATCATTCACATCACCACGACACTCTGAGAAACTAGAACCATAAGTCAATTTCTTAAAATGCTTCACACCAGTTTCATTAATGGTGTGTGGAATGAGTCCATCCTTCCTCTCCTTCCCCACCTTGAAATCCCCAATATGTAAACACAAGAT